AAGCATCGCCGAAGCTCCCCTGCCGCTGCCGGTTCTTTGCCGTGCACCACTTTGCCACACGAGGCGCGGCGCTGCCGGACCATCCTGGAAAAACCGAAAAAACCGTTGAAAATGGCGGTATATAGCTGCTGGCCGAATCGCCGGTATTGGCGTCTACAATTGGTAATCCTCGATGCTGTTTCAGCCTGAGCAAGTACAGACCCTGACCTATACGACGCACCCGCTGAGACCGCAAGATTCTCCTCGTAAGGCAAACCTGGGCCTGGTGCCGCTGCTGCACCGACTGCACCGAGATGCTCCGCGTGTTGAAGCCCTGCTGAGGCCCTCTTGCGAGGTAGCTTCGGTTTGAAGCACAGATAGCTACCGAACGCCCAAAACTTGCACCAGCACCTCAAGTGTGAGTGTGACAACAGTATACCGAGGTTCGATTATGCCTGTTGGCGACGACGAGGCTCCTACGGCTCTGTGAACACGCAGCCTGCTGTGGCATGCAGCCTGCTGCCCAGGGGGCTTTTGAGGGGGGGTCAAAAAGAAAACAGGATACCATCTGCGAGTGCCCGGCGTACCTGTTTAGCCGCCTTGACCAGTGTTACGTCGGGCCTTGTGGACCGATTCGCGTCGTTTCTTCTCCTCTACCCTTCAGCAGTGCACCTTCTAGCGGATCGTCTCTTCTGCGACACCAACCGCGCGGTGGGCGTCTCGTACTGACGGAGCAAGGACCAATAAAAAAAAAAAAAATTATAAACCAAATAACACTGCGAGTTGCCGAGGCCCGCTAAGGGGGGGCTCTGCGGCCCGTACCCTAGTCTCGTGAGGGGGTAGCGCCAGGGGGGCAATCTGCGGGCGACCGGAGGTCAAGCACAGCACCAAGACGGGCAGCACAGAACAGGAGCGAACGGCAGCCTGGGCTGTCGTAGTTGTAACCTCTGGTGAGTGCCGAATCAGCAGCAGCTCATCCCCCCTCGTTGCGATGCATCTAAACGGCACACAGGTATGCCTTTGCAGCAGTAAGCGGCTCCGCACGCGTGGTACAGCAGCAGCAGCAGCAGCAGTAGTGGTCCCGATGTATCGTGCTGTACATGTGATATGTACCGAATTGTCAAGGTTCATTCCACTATTCAGAATGACACTATTCGATGTGGCGGCAAAAATGCCACTATATCAGAGAATAAGCTTTGATACTTAGACTACGCTACGGAAGTGGTTCCTTGGATCTTCACTTGTACGCGTTGTGTATGTATCTTTGGGTCCGTCTTTTGTTGTGTGCACCAGTATCCGCGTGAAAACGCAGGTGTCCGCCCATCACGTGTGCATTTGACACTTGATCGTCCTTGTGACCACGAGGCCTTCGGCGATCGCAACCTTCCTTTGTGTGCAGGCTGCGGCCTGCAGAAACAAAGTAAGTAACATTTTTTTTGTTTGCCCAGCCATCCATGACGGGGTTCAACGCAAGCAAAACACACATGCGGAAAACATCGATGTACGCGAAACAAGCTGGAGCAACCAAGTTGAATGCGCCGAACACTCACTCCGGCGCATCAATCCCAACCGCCACGATGCTTTGCGCCTGTAGGTCTCAACCGACCAATGCCACTACAGTATGACTGGGCAAGCTCCAATGTCCAACTGCCGTGCCGATCTAGCGGCATGTGCTGCGAAGAATGCCATCTTTGCCGTACGGAGGAAATGCCCAACCTCGCCAGTGCCACATGACTCCGCGTACTCTTCTAGAGGACCAAAAAGCCCAGACAGTTCCGCGAACGACGGTGGCGCCTTCATCCCTCCACCCTCCTCACTCTCAGAATATCCGGTGTTGTCTAGCTCTAGCTCGTCGTCAGAAAAGCAAGTGCTTGGGCGTACGTGTTGCCAACCTTCTCCATAAAAATCTCCCTTTCGTCTTCGGACAGAGCCTGCGGTGAAATACAGGGGGGCTCCGACGTTTTGAATTGCACTATTCGGTGGATGAGATGCCCAAAATGCCACTATTGAGGGCCTCGCCAATGCAGTGTAGCGGTACAACGCCACTTCATCGGGTTGAGATTGTGACACGAGATTTTGATGCCACTATTGAGGGCATTTCACTTGTCAGCGTGCCACTATATAGGGACCACTATTATACTGTGGTAGTTTGAACAAAAAAAAGGGCGATCTCCGCAGCAGTGAGATAGGCTTCCACAACAGCAATAGTGCTCTTTATTTCCTCTCGCACGCATGTTGGTGCGGCACTAGATGGTGCGGCTCTAGGCAAGTTCAGCTCGGGTTCTCTGAGCAACAGCTCCGTAAAATCAAGAGAAGTTGCAAAACTTTCATGCATACATAACCGACCGAGGGTCGGGCTGCGTTATGTTGTGCTGCTGTAAGAGGTATCTTTCTTACCCTCCAAGGTTCCAGTGTTGCGGCAAGAATTTCTTTACACCACTGGGCGTTTATACGGCAGTCGCCCGACAGCAGTAGTAGAATGGCGGTCTTCACACGTAACTGCACTTGTCCTAAATATTTGCGTTGCGTCTATGACTCGAGCAGCAGCCAATATGGCAGATCTGTCGGTAATCCGCACGAAGCTGTAGCTAGCTACGTAGTCTTGCTGCAGCTGTAGACTTCCACAGCCTGTAGACTACTAGAGAGCTAGTATCTGTGTGTTCTGGCCCCATTGATTCGCGCATTTCGCAACAACAACCTGCCAACCCATGTATCTAGCCTGTCGCCATGTGCAGAGAGGCAGGCTACTTTGTTTCCTCGGCCTCGCTCAGGCCAGTTGTTATGGAGAAAATTTCCGATTTGGAACCCGGGGGATCGACAGAAAATGCTCAACCACCTCCTAAAAGCAGGAGATCTGCGTACTGGACAGTAAGCACAGCGCACCATGGCACTTCGCCAGTTCGTCCTCGCCTCACAGACCCCTGTTTGTTATCTAACCGACAAGGCTGTATACTCCACTACTGTGACTTCTCTGAGCCAAGTTTGGACAGGTAGAGTACAGTGTGCGAAGAGTATGCCTCGGATACATATGAAAGCAATTTTTCACCATTTCCTGTTTGGAATTTCAACCAATTCTAGCTTGGAATTCATGAGGTATTCCAACCAGGATCGTCCAGCACTTCCAAATTGGAATTCCAATTTTACCAAGCATGATAAACACACACTGCACCTGCTCCACTTGGCTCGAAGAGGCACAGCAATGCACTGTGCGGCTTCGAACGTTTCATTGCAAACGGGTCTCTGTGAGGCGAGTACTAAGTGACAAAAGGGCATTTGTGTGCTTTTCCCACAAGTGCGCAGAACTCCAGCGGCCTTATGTGGGTTTGGATGTAAAATGCGTGAAGTCGGGATTCCAGTCTGGGAATCGTCTGAACATTGGCCGCAGCCCACAACGGATCAAGTTCCACCGGTGCTACGGTACTCGGAGATTTTTTTTTCTTAATATGACACAACGAACACATCTCTATCGTTCGAAAAGAGTCTTAAGATAGATTAGCAATGGATCCATGGCGTCAGCGAAAGCAGCCTGTATTTTCACGATTTCCCGAGCAGGACACAGCGATATCTCCCCTGTGGGTGACAGGCTCAACAAGACAGTTGGGTGGCCATCTTGTGCATCTCTCTGTTGTCATGCTTGTGTTGGGTAGTTGGTTCGTCGGTTGTGCTGTTTGTTGCACCCTTATGGGATTACTGGTTTTGTTTTTGAACATTTTGCACTCGCAGAGTCAGACACCCTAGACAAATTCCGACAGGAAGGAAGATTGTTTTGCAGTATCTCCCGCTGTATGCTGTCCATACTGTAGTTGGGATCGAACTCTGTGCGGGCTTGGTCAAGGCACCCTCTAAATTGATAAGTGTATCTTGTGGCGGCATGGCGACAGAGGTATCGGTGTCTCCTGCGAGCCGCGACAACCCGCTAAAAAATAGAAAGGAGATTTCAACGTCAGCTTCATCTAAGAAGTTGCAGGTTTTCCACACGCTGTGCTGGTGTTCTGTCCGCAGCTTTCCTCTGATCTTCCACTGCTACCTCTGCGTAGAGTTAATTTCGATTACGATGCTCTTGGTAAAGATCACGATGCTCTTGATGAAGACCAACATTTTGTTTGTCTAGCCTGCCAGATAGCTTCGAAGTGGCTACTTATATCCTCATCCCGCGCCAAACGTGCGTGTTCGTGTCGTGGTAGCCGTTAGAGCCCTTTTTTGCGCGAACGACCGCGTTGCTCCGAGCTACTGTCACGCAGCAGTTGTCTTGAACGAAGCCGTACCTAATAGAGTTGGACCATTTCTGAGGCATCCTCTGTTTCCGTGCTCATCTGCGATCTCTGTGAGGAACATGGTGACGATTAAAAGGCCCCGTAGGCGCAAGGTGATGAAGAAGAGATGGGGGCGAAAAGCTTGTTCTCCCTCTTCACTGAAAGGTTTTCGATTTTTGAGATAACACACAGCAGTTGCTTCGAGCTATCATCACGCAGCATTCCCGGCATTTCTCCCGAACATAAAAAGCGAAAGGGCGTCCTTTGATCTGCGCTCTAGAGTGAAGACCAGAACCATGTTTGGGACGTCCTGTGATTTTGTGCTCCCCCGCGTCTCTGTGAGGCGCGGGACGACGATGAGAGTGATTGGCCTGCTCCGAGCTACTGTCACGCAGCAGTTGTCTTGATCGATGGCGAACGGAGCCGTACCTAAAGGGTTGGACCATTTTTGAGGCATCCTCTGTTTCCGTGCTCATCTGCGATCTCTGTGAGGAACATGGTGACGATTAAAAGGCCCCGTAGGCGCAAGGTGATGAAGAAGAGATGGGGGCGTAAAGCTCGTTCTCTCTCTTCACTGAAAGGTTTTCGATTTTTGAGGTAACACACAGCAGTTGCTTCGAGCTATCATCACGCAGCATTCCCGGCATTTCTCCCGAACATAAAAAGCGAAAGGGCGTCCTTTGATCTGCGCTCTAGAGTGAAGACCAGAACCATGTTTGGGACGTCCTGTGATTTTGTGCTCCCCCGCGTCTCTGTGAGGCGCGGGACGACGATGAGAGTGATTGGCCTGCTCCGAGCTACTGTCACGCAGCAGTTGTCTTGATCGATGGCGAACGGAGCCGTACCTAAAGGGTTGGACCATTTTTGAGGCATCCTCTGTTTCCGTGCTCATCTGCGATCTCTGTGAGGAACATGGTGACGATTAAAAGGCCCCGTAGGCGCAAGGTGATGAAGAAGAGATGGGGGCGTAAAGCTCGTTCTCTCTCTTCACTGAAAGGTTTTCGATTTTTGAGGTAACACACAGCAGTTGCTTCGAGCTATCATCACGCAGCATTCCCGGCATTTCTCCCGAACATAAAAAGCGAAAGGGCGTCCTTTGATCTGCGCTCTAGAGTGAAGACCAGAACCATGTTTGGGACGTCCTGTGATTTTGTGCTCCCCCGCGTCTCTGTGAGGCGCGGGACGACGATGAGAGTGATTGGCCTTGTTGACGTAGCGGGATGACAATCTGGGAGGAGCATGAAAACAATATCTTCTCGTTTTCAAGATAAGCGCCTGGACTGAACAGGACTGGGTTTCGTTTTCCATAGGCTGCAACATGCTCCTCCTACTATCTTGTATGGCGGAGAATCTCTTAACTTGCCTCCACCGGGTTGCCTGGGTTTTGAACTTTGTCCGCCCTAACTCACAGAAAACGGCGGTCGGCTCAAGACAAGACTTGTGGGACGCGCGCCTTCTAGCGCTAGGCCTCGACCCCGGGGGATCAACCACAAAACTGCCTGCCCATGCTCTGAGGTGGACGGACTCTGGGTGTGATTCGAGATAATTGCGCTGATACGACCATATTGCTCCCTTTGCACATGGCGTAGAAGTGGGTTGGAAATCACCGAGGCCTTGACGTTCTTCTGCGTGGAAACCTAGGTGTTTGGCTCGGGGAGCGTCGTGCTGGACTTCCACGCAGGCGAACATCCTCTCGGGAAGGGCTCGATCGAAGCACATGGAGAGCACCAGAGCCGCGGGCGTTCTTCGTGTTGTGGTCCTATCGGGAGTTGTCTGGCCCGCTGAAGTAGAGCTGGTATGCCTTTCGATCTGCAATGCCTGCCGCGAGAGCAGCACGAACTATTCCATGGTGGTCACGGCCAAGAACGTTCGCCTCGTTTCACCTTCAAGGCGGCAAGATGAAGGAGGAGCATCATCACCCTTACCACTCTGCGGCGGTGACATAAATAGTGACAGCGCCGTGCCTGTGATACCTGCCGAGAACAGTAGAGTACTGCCTCACCGCCGGATTTCTCGACTGGCGTTTCGCGTCGACTTGCCGTTGTCGCAAGTCGTTTGGCCCGAAGGCCTTCGTGGGCTGAAGTTCGGCTGGAGGTTCGACCACCCGCTCGACCATCCGCTGCCTGACTCGCTGATAGATCTCCATCTCGGTGGCACGTTCAATCACCATATCGAGGGGGTCACGTGGCCGCCACGACTTGCCGTGCTGCGTTTCGGGGATCGATTCAACCGTCAGGTAGAGCTGGTGGCGTGGCCTGCCACGCTGCAGAACCTGACCTTTGGCTCGTCCTTCGATCAGCCCATAGAGGCAATCAAGTGGCCCGGCGGCCTGGAAGTTCTAAGGCTCGGAGACGCCTTCAACCACCCGGTCCAGGCGGCTGACTGGACAAGCGCGACCAACCTCAAAATACTCGAGTTCGGGACCGCCTTCCGCTGCGCCGTTGCCGATGTGGCGTGGTCTCCGGGGCTAAGGGAGCTACATTTTGGACCTTGCTTCGACCAGCAGCTATTCGCGAGCCAACTTCCGAGGGGCCTCAGGCTGCTCCGTATCCCAGACGTGTGCGACACCTTCGAGCCGGACGACTTGCCAAAAGACTGCAAGGTTCGCATTTACAGGACCGACATCTTTGAGTTCTGGTAGTACATTTTTGGAGTCAGAAGCTCTTGCTCATCTCGCAGAGGGAATTTGGGGTCCGAAAACATAAGGAGCTGACCTGTACAGAGAACTCGAGTCTGATGTTGTGTGCCGCAGCAGGACGGCGGCAACGAAAGTTTTGGCGCCTCGGTCAACCACCGCTTGGACACCTTGTGTATAGGAGAGAGGAAAGAGGCAGCGCGAGGCAACTATTGCTGCAGTATTTATTTAGCTCCTTGGCGCTCGCCAGGCAACTTGTGGAGCACCGGAAGAAAAAAAGACAGTCCTATTAAACGCGAATGTGGGCGAGTGGTGGTGCAGTTATGTCCTTGGGTCTGTTGGTGTCTTCCTGTCTGTTCGCCATCGTGGTTTCGTCCAGAATATGTCGTCAGTTGCGCAAGGTTCCGGCACAAAGCTACTCCCTTTTCTTGAGCACCGACCTTAAGGATATACAGTAGCGTCGCGTTTCAGCCATATACTAACTACAAAACAAAATGGTGCGCCTAGTGTCTCCGTAGCCCTGGTACAGAACGCGCCTGCATCCAAGAAACTTTTAGACTTGCCCCGAGGTTCCTGATAATTTCTTGTTTGTGTATGTACTCGGCAGGATAAAGATCTCCAAGATATCCGAGGGGGTACGCAGATATGATAGGTTTGGGTATATGCAGACGTGTGTGCAGCAGCAGGTCCTTCTTGCCTGCTGTTCATGCTTGTCACTCGTGAATAATCAAGGAACTTGAGTCAATCCTTTGTGCACAAACGCTCATCGTGTTTGTGGTGTCGGCGCGTGTGCTATGTTATCACGCTCGCGTGCTCTTGTCGAGAGCGTTTGTGCACAAAGGATTGACTCAAGTTCCTTGATTATTAACGAGTGACAAGCATGAGCAGCAGGCAAGAAGGACCTGCTGCTGCACAAACGTATCGTGTTTGTGGTGTCGGCGCGTGTGCTATGTTATCACGCTCGCGTGCTCTTGTCGAGAGCGTTTGTGCACAAAGGATTGACTCAAGTTCCTTGATTATTAACGAGTGACAAGCATGAGCAGCAGGCAAGAAGGACCTGCTGCTGCACAAACGTATCGTGTTTGTGGTGTCGGCGCGTGTGCTATGTTATCACGCTCGCGTGCTCTTGTCGAGAGCGTTTGTGCACAAAGGATTGACTCAAGTTCCTTGATTATTAACGAGTGTCAAGCATGAGCAGCAGGCAAGAAGGACCGGCTGCTGCACACACGTCTGCAT